CACCCATTAGGGATTGAGATAGCAAATATATGCACAAGAAAACTTTCATTCTTGATTTTAACCTTTCCAACTATCTACTATGCTCCTGAGAAGGAAGATAGTCTATAAATATTCTAAGGTTTAAGTCACAAGAATATCTAAGAACAAGCTAAAAGATGTTAATAAACTCCAACAAGAATAAGCTCCACCCATCATTATTCAAGAGAAGAAGGATTTTAGAAATTTCTCTGAAGTACATACTATTATAGCTAAATCCACAGTTGCTTCCAAAACCAAGCTAGTTTCATTAAATCATGCATGAACAATAATAAGCTCACACATGAAAACTGCAGACTCAGCACGTGGCTGAATCTCGACAGTAACTATTTTCCAACCCACGACTTTACTTGAGCATAGGTTCTCACGCACAATAAGTGGCCTATGAAAGAGGAATAGCACACAAGTGTCACAACAACATGAAACATGGGCCTGTTCCCCCCGTGCCCTTACACGTTTATTGCTAAACACACATACAACAGCAATTGCATATACAAGGGGCACAAGTAAATTTTGAAGGTTGAGGATTTCAAATTTTGGAAACCTATTATTTCACAACACTTTATATCTTATTGATGAGAAAATATGGAAGTAAATGTCAAAAGAAAATATATAAAGTGGAAGAAGGTAAAAGACCTGCAAGGTTTTCAGCAGCAAATCTGAGACAAACAGCTTTTAACTCCGAAGCATGATATTGGTCAGCCAAAGATAGAATTTTGGCAACAGAGTTTACAGATATATTCTTGCAGAGATGGGATTCACACATTAATTTCAGTCTCTCCACACCATACCCATCTGCTGCTGCTAACAATTTTGCTATTAGTGTTTCAGATATTGATGACACAGAAGAGAAGGTAGACCCAACACTCTCCACATCTTCTGAAAGAGTGTCTCTGTATATAAAGTGCAACAAGGCCTGTTTGACACATAAAAGAAAAGCAGAAATAATGATTATAATACAATCACAGGAACAACACTCAGATCTAAGCCCTTAAAGGAAAGGCAGAAAAAGGATGTGAATGTTTTCACCTTAAAAACCTTTGGATCAAGATTGGTGATGACTATCTCTTGCTTTTCTTCATCCATCCCATCAAAAAATTCAGATCGAAAAACAGGGGATCGAGCAGCTAATACCAATTTATGAGCATGAAATTTTTCCCCAGCCACATCAAATGTAATGTCTGAACCTTGCATATTTTCCAGCAGCATACCAAAATGTGTGCCTATATTAGACTCTGGCACCTGAATTGAGTGTAATCGTGAACAATCTATTGCTGAAACGACAACTCCAACTGTACAATTTATTTTCAAGCAATCATCCTTGATGTAATCTGATGTTTCAAGTAACGCTCGTCTGAAAAAACGCTTGTACCCCCTA